TTCGTCAGCCAATCAGATTCAAGCATTCAACGGTCCCGTAGTATAAATAAATATAATTGATACAATGTGGGCAGCATCACATTAAACCTTCAGTTGATCAGTGTTCTGCTTAACCAGCCGTGAAGCTCTTCATGCAAACAGACTTTTAGCTTTAATGTGAAATAAAACTGTCTCATCAACTTTCACTGTAACACCCTATATGATTTACCCTATAGAATTTGATTCCTGCTGAGGCCTCAGTGAACATGAAGGGTAAACAGACACATACAAATACAATATCTAATAATCAGCACTTTTACATTGAACTAGACGCTGTTGGAATGAGAACAATATATTCCCCTCCTCAATTCTGCCATAGAATTCTCTGAAACTTTGTGTGCATGTGGCAGGTCTAGCAGAATAAGACCAAGCCGTAATGGGAGACATTATATATCATTATACAGATATTGGCTCAGTGGTATATACAGGTATTTTAATTACTATGTACAAAATATAGGTTTGAATGACCATAATCCCTAATTTCTGCCATGTAATTGAATGCAACTTTGTGTGGCTACTTGTCAAATATGAAAGAACATTCTCAAGTTTGATTATAAGACATATTATGCCTTATTACAAAGATGTGAGTGAATATATGTATTACCGCAAAACCCCAGTATTTGCGCACATGCAAACTCGTTCCGACAGCATCTTACAGAGCCCTGAAGCACCACGGACATCATACACACAATTAGTTTAACGTATCATAGCCCCCCCGCCAGTAATACATGACTGCAGCCCCCCCTCTCTGGCCCCCTTCCTGTTGGATTAACGCATGCGCAGAGAACACAGAAATATGTTCACCCATTTTGCGAGTTTTTAAAGTTTAGTTTATCTGTTTAACGTGCTTGGAATAAGAAGTCCTACACATATGTTTGTGCACGATCTGTTTCATGATTGTCAGTGTATTAAAAATATAGACATCTAATATATTTATTTTATTTTATTCCGTTTTAAAGTTTTACTGTCTATGCATAAAAATTCACACAACAACACGCAAATAACATTTTTACTTTACTGATATCAGCACTTATCAAAGTCGTGCCTAGATATTTATTGATCACTTAAAATTTTGAAGCATTCTGGATATTAATTTAGTTATACCATTCTCGATGTTATAATGATTTGGAAACATCTACTGCATTATCTATTGCGTCATTCATTCTGCATACATGAAATATATTTAAATCAGGGTTAAAACAGCACTGAAGCAGTAACGCTACATGATGATAATGTTATTCTCTTATTTTAATCTACTTTGTGCATGTGAGAGTCTCGAGGCCTGAGAGGGGCGACTGTGCTCCCCGATCCAAGCCTAAGCTTCAAAATGGCTGCCTGACCGACTGAGTGACGCAGCTCACTGATACAGGCAGGAATCCAGGGCCGCGGCAAAATGACGGTTATCGCCAAATGTTTTTACTTAGGAAAACACCATATGGCCTCAAAATACTATCTAGTTTATTCCCGTAGTGTAACACGCTCCATGTTTAGGCAGCACTCATAATTGTGCTTATTAAAAATCATTCTATATAAACCTGTTAATTCCCTTAACATTCAACAAAGTATTCCATAATGTTTACTCCAGGCGATTATTTACAGTGTAACGAATTACATTAAACGTCTAATTATACTGAAGTATTAAATCCCAGCATGTCTGTTAAACAGGGGCAGATTTAAGGGGCAGCCACTGCACATCAAAATAATAAACGAAATTTGGATTATTTGATTTTCTAAGCAGAAGCGCAGAACAGACACAGTGCACCCCCCTAAAAATATAACGGCCCCCCCAATCAAAATTTTCTGCCGACGCCGCAGGTTAAACATGATAATTTTATTATTAGTTGTATCTGCTGACTGTAATCTTACCTTGCAATACAAAATATCTTTATATTATTCCAGCATCTTATTCGTGTTTCTTGCTAAAATGGCGACTCTGGCTTTTTTTCTTTCACTTTCATTTACAGACAGGAAATGCGCAGCTTCGTACCAAATGTGGAAGTGGTTTATGACGCGGCCTCATTGGGTGTTTCGGACTTTTATAACAAGACACCCCCAGCAGAGGCAGGCCCCCCATAGCCTGACCAGACCTGGGTGTCTGTCGCATGCTGACTAAGTGGTCATTTGGCAGCCTATGCTGACTCCTTTCGCTTAAGCCACAGCCAATAAGTGCTGCTTTCGGTGACCATAGCCAGTTCCTTAACTGCCTTCCGCCGGCCTGCCCTCTGGTACCCACTTCCTCCAGCAGCCTTGTAGAGGAGCTGCTGCAAAGCCCCTGCAGCCCACTGGACGCACCTTCACATTCATGCCCGCTCCTCTGCCTCAGCTGCCAGGTTTGCATACCGCAGTTTTCTCCTTTCGTTTGCCTCATCGATGGCATCCTCCCCAGGGACTGTCAGCTCACCCACATGGAAAGAACCTATATGAGGATATATGCGCATATATGAAACCTATATGCAGTATATATGCTGCATATATGTGTATATATGCCACATATAGGCAAAATTGAGGTGCATATATGTGCATATACAGGCCATATAGGTCTCCTGTATTGAAGACACACCGGCAAGACTTGGACCAGAGGACGAGATACGATATGACTATGGTTTGGTCTCTCCAGAATGTTGATATTCCAGTTTTACACGAGTCTCCACCTTGCTTTTTATATAAATAAGCACCTTTTTCCCTTTATGGGTGACAAAGAGCGGCCATGTGATGCAGCATAAAAATAAAAAGCCATAAAAATATGGCTCAGAAATGCAGGTGTCACGCCCGGCTCGTCCGATCCTCATGTGTGCCACGCCCACCTCGTTAACTCGTGTTACTTCCTGATTGTGATCACCTGTTGCTTGTTCAGTTCAGCCTGTCTTGAGTATTTAGTCCGTGTCTCAGTCAGTATTCCCCAGTTCTGTCATTGTATTGTCATGTTCGATGTCTGCCCGGATCCCTGAATAAACCCCGTTTGTTCGTATTTACAGCTTCGCTCTCCTGCTTCT